GGGTTTGGGACATTTGTAATAGGGTCAACAATAAAAATTTTCAAAAGGTGGGAGTGGGTGGGGCACGAGCAAAACATAGGAAAGAAAAGCAGATCTTAAACCAAAAGTGTGGAGTCCCCGGGTTTTCAGAGGGATAAATTCCAGCCTCACCTCATCCCAATTCCTTTCCCCGAGAGGAAAGGGTCCTTTTATCCACATAATCCTGAACACGCGTTTGACCCGGGCACTCCTCGATCCAGCTCTGAAACAGAATTTGAGAAAATAAACCCTTAGGCGGGCTCCAGTTACCCGGCAGAGGGGCTCTGGCTGGCTTCCTCCCCGCGCGGCTAGGTCCCACCGGGGCGCCCACCCCAGGACTGGGTGCTGACACCAGCCACGGCCCTTTCGGCCTGGACGTGGTCAGCTTCCCGAGGGCTGGGCGCACGGAAGTGATTCCTGCCTGAGCCCAGTCTTAACTTGCCGTGTGACCTTGAGAACCGTTCGCCCGCTACATTCCCGCGTCTGCAGGAGCGAGATTAGGAACTCGGGGTCAGGTCCCAGGTCCTGGGAACCCCTCAAGTGCAGCACGTGGTCGGACCCTCCGCTCGTGCACCTCACGCCCGACGGCACCCTAACCCGGACCCCGGCAGCAGTGTCTGGGGAACTCTGCCCGGGGCTTCAGTCTGGGTGAAATAGGGGCGGCCGGGCTTCTGTTCTGTTTCTCTTTGTGCCTGGAATGGAGCTGCAAGTCCCCCTCACACCCGCAGCGGGAGAGGGAGCGCTGACAGCTTGCTGATGGTTCTGGGAGGGTCTCACTCGACAGCTGCCCGCTCCGCTCCGTTCCGCCGCGGGAACCCGGGTCCTTCGCCTGCTCTCCCTGGCCATGAAAAGGGAGTCATGTCACCTCGCAAACGACCCACCCGGGTCGGGAGGGGTTGGGGGCGCTTCACCAGTGGAATTTCAGGGGCCAGGATCCAGGTCTGCAGTGAAAATAGTGAACGTTTTCACCACCCTTTGGCACACTCAGGTCCAGCTTCTCTCCTCTCTCCCTTCCCCTCCCCCTCCCCTCCCTTCTCTCCTCTCTTTTCCTTCCCTTCCCT